GTTCTTACCCATACCGAAGGTATCTTGCCTTTCTTCTAATATTCGCTGGCTTTTGTTTTAATGTAATCAAGTAAAACCATTATCAGCAGCATATTTGCAGTATGTAAATGATCGTCAGCAGAATCAAATAGTTGCAGTACCAAGGGTAACATCAAAATTAAATTCCTAGGCAACATGATGACATACATACATACATGTAATATTAGTATAGTATTTGTACAGCTGGCCTTGCGCTTTGAAAGCATGTGCAGACCCTTGTCACGCACCGGCAAACATAATTTGCATACCTAGAGTTACACTTCGTTTTATGTTAATGATTTTTGATTATCATGAAAATCGAACTACTCTTCGTGAAAACTTATGTGAACGTGCCGTTTACACGTAACAATTAGAAGCGTCCGATTTATTGGTAACAAACTTTGGCGTAACACAAACACCCTATCTCAAATCCATGGCAACGACTAGGATGCCCTCTCCCAAAACTGATTACTTTTCTGTGCCAAATTGACGCTTCTATTTGTTATGCGTAAAATCGCGGAGAACGCCATCTTGTGTTTATAAGATCTTTGTTGCACAATAGTTTCCATGCTAGCGTGTAGGGGTGTAAACTTTCTTTGTAGCTATCTATTGCACGACTTAACTTACACACCATATCAATCAATCTAACAACCTATCTTTTGGAATTGAATATTCATATAACAATTACCTTTAAAAAAAAAAAAAAAAAAAAATTCCCCCACCCTAAATCTTTCCCAGGCTACCTACTACTAGTACTACCTACCAAGCCTGTAGCTATGCCTAGGCTCTAGCCCTCTAGTTTGTATTTTAAAACTACAGTATTTTAAAAGCATGTTCTTACAAAGGTAAACATGGATAAAGGTCAGTAATTTCATATCTGGAAGATTATTTTAAATATTTACTTTTTTAGTAGGAGATACTGATATCATTATATAGCAATCAATTGCTTATTTATCTGTGATTCTGAATATATGCTTCTTTTTGGACCATCAAGTTGAATTTTGTGGTTATTTACAGCTTTATTTCAGAACTTTCTAAGGCTCTGTTGTTTGTCTCAAAGCAAGCTTTCTGAATTGTTTATAGGGACCGAGCACTCTTATCATACCTCCTCTGTTAAGAAAAAGGATTATAAGCTGAGCTTAGAATGTAACAACAATAAGTACTAGTAGTGATCAGCCATCTTCTATGGATTTTAAACTGCTTGAATACTCATATTCCTTCATCATCAACTCCTGTTGGATCTGGCACCCACAAAAAAGCAGTTTCTGAATCTGTATATGAAGATAGTGCAATTAAATATTGGGCTGAATTTTTCAACACAAACTCAGTCAAAGTTGAAGCTGAAGTGCAAACACCTTACTATTGGGACCAAACACATTCACTAAAAGCTAAGATAAAAAAGCAGGAAGACACAATTTCTGACCTGAATTGTGTGAGCAAAATTCTTCTCTGGAAGCTAAGATTAAAAGTTTATAAATATGTTTAAATGAGTGTAGGACAAAAAAACGCCCAGGACAATAACTACCCGGACATAAACCACACAAAATGGACTATACCACTGTTAGAGTGGGGTGGCCAGTGTGGACAGTCATATCCAGTATGTAGGCTAATATGATCTTAATATTTTATCTTTTTACCTTGTTTTGTCAAGTCTATAATTATATTTCTTCTTGCAATAAAGATGAGTTTCCATAGATACATGTACAGTAATTTAATAGTAAAACCAGTTTATTTCCATAATAGAATAGTGAATAAAATCTAATTAAAACAAAATATTTTATTGAAAGGTTATTCATAGATGTGTATAAGAGACAGCATTATCATCACCACCATCCCAAAGATCCACATTGTATCATTGTCATGAGTAAGTAATGTTGTCATCATCATTATTCCAACCATCCACACTATCATTGCCATCAAAATTGTCATCATTATCATCACCACCATCCAGGCGTGACATACATCAGCAACTTTCCACCCATTTCAGGGTTCCTGCTGCCGAAGCAGGGGGAGTGTGCACTCATACATTGTATGACGTACACACAGACCGGACCGGACACCAGAGCACAATCAGGTCTGCCCTGAGAATGGGAGCTACCTAACTGACGCACGTCACGGTCCATCGCTGGTGGAAGACAGAACCGATATTCAAGTAAAATAAATGTTTATTTATTTTTTTAACGCAGTCAACAATATTATATTATTATCATCATCATTACTATTATCATTACCATCACATTAACTATTAATTCTATTATTATTATTATTATTATTATTATTATTATTATTATTATTATTATTATTATTATTATCTGGAGAAATCCAAATGAAATAAATTAACAGCATAGCAGTAAACATAAAGGATTTCCAGGTTTGTTTTGGGTTCTTATACACATCTAGATGTGTATAAGAGACAGGTCTAACTCTTCCAGATCTGTTTATAATGATGTCACTATAAAGAGGGTATGTTGAATCTTGCAATATATATTTAAATTTAGTCAGAAAATTATACTAACACAAATCATTGACTGCCCCTACCTCAAGTCCGGTGATACGTGAAACTTGTCTGCCTATTTTATTAAGTTTCTCTTTTAGGCTTTTGTCTAGATGAGAATACCAAATAGTAAAACAATAACACAAAACTGATTGAATAACTGATAAATAAAACATATGAATGAGACAGGGGCCAACATTGAACCTCCACAAACGATACACGAAGTACATCTTTTTGTTACATTTAGTAAGTACATATGCTGTACTCTAATCCCATTTAAGTTTATTATCAATTATGAGCCCAGGTATTTTGGTTTTTCCACAATTTCGACCTTTTCAGATGAAGGGAAATATTCATGGTTGCTATTACTGAAAGATCATATCCCATAGATATACAATGTATCCAGTGCCAGATTAACCATTAGGCAAATAAGGCACAAGCCTTGTGGGCCAGGCGAAAATGATGGGCCATCAAAAGTTGGACTGCAATATTATTTACACTCTATTTTCCGGTATTATTAGGCCAGAAAACTCGTAATTATTACCATGGGGTCCATTCAATTAACATTTTTGGGCCATTTCCAAAATGTGCCTTGAGGCCAGATGATGCTTAATCCAGCACTGAATGTATCCAAATTAAAGGGAAAATAGTCATGCCTGAAAAATAGAGCCCATTGGTATTATCATTTTACATGACTTTTTCTATTCAAATTATATTTATGTTCCAAACAAATCATGTTTGGAAATATATGTACTGTAGGCGAAAAATTACACTTTTTTTAGTCAGCCCATATACATATGTACGTGTGTATGTATATGTATTATTTATTTGCTTTAGGCTGCTGATCTCACTGTAGGCCCCGGGCCACACAAATTTGTTTTTAACCAGACATTTTTACGTTCTTAAATACATAGATTGTGGATTATTTTACTCCAACACAACTTCCATAGATACTTGTTTATTATGTATATTGATCATTAAATAAAACAATCAATCATTATAGAGTACTACAGTGTTATGTCACGATACCATGTGATACTACTCCGTTGCTATCCTTGCAAAAAGCGTTCAACCAGACGCAATTTTCTTTACTGACCAACCATTGATCCCAATTTCTAACGTAATTATTAAGATTTTGTATCTTACACTTCCTTTGTAAATTTTAATTAATGATTAAATGTGTGTTCGATAACTAATATAATACGAGCTTTTGTGTTTTTAGTACATTTTGATGGTAAAATATTAGATATTAAAATGCCTATTCCAGAAAGCCTACGAAATCATTCAGGCGTATTGAACGGTGACCGATGTCTGTTGACAACAGAGTGCGCCAGCTGGCGTCGTGACGACACGACTGTGGTACCCTATGTTGATGTTAAAGCTGAAAATGATAATTAAAAGAGAAGTAAAATTTGCTGCAATGCACACATGTGAAGCCATAATAAACACTGGATTTGAAGAGGCCCATTAGAGGGCCTCCTTCACTTTACAATTACACAGTATGGTGTGTTGTCTGGTTCGGGGACGCTACCGAAAACGACTTATATGCCCGTAACAGAATAGTCAGGACTGCAACGCATATCATTGGTTTGGAACAAATGCCTCTGGAAACCATTTTCCATGATCGGATTAAGACCTCTATTATATTAAATATAAACATGACCCTTGCCTTCAGTTTGGCACATAATATAGCTTTCTATGACAAGTGGTTAACAAGATTCTAAAAGAATTGGGGTCTTCCGTCGTATTAGATATTTTATACCTCAATTTATTCTTAAGATGCTGGCTAAAACTTTGGTTTTTCCTTTACTTTATTGTTCATGTGTATGGTCAAACTGCTCCATCCAATTGACTAATAGCCTACAAGTTCTTTTAAACACCTTAGGAAGAATTTACTTTCTTGTGACATTAGAACACAAATTAATGATATTTTAAACTTGTTAAACTGGCAAACTCTGAATGACAGATGTAGAGATCAATTATTATTCATAACTTTTAAATGTCTTCAAGGACTTGCACCTTCCTATTTCATTAAGATGCTTGTTTTTCTCAAAAATGCTAAGAATACTCGAAGTCAGACAAATAATAATCTTTTAGTTCCACAGTGGAACATTTGTCAAGGAAAACGGACCTTTCACTATCGAGCATCCATGAACTGGAACGAACTACCTAGTAGCATAACTACTGTAGGGATTTCCATAATTTAAATCAAAATACCTTTAAAAATGCTCTAAAATAATTAATCTCTCTATTTTGTAATTAAGTCATTTTTGTTAAATTTTCCTTATATTTTCCTTTTCATTTTATCACTTTTGTAT